AAGCAGGGCACTCAGAGCCTGCGCCTCCCGTTTGAACAAGATCGCGACATCTACCTCCCCTGTCATGAGAGCATGGAGTACTTAGGCGCGATCCTGTCCTACGATAACTTTGAGGGACGCACCATCAGGCATCGTTCCGATAAAGCGGACACGGCGTTCAAACAACTCGGCAAGGTTCTTCGCGTCAATGGGGTGCTGACGGCGGGGCACAGGCTCCGGATCTACATCGCAATTGTTGTGAGCTCCTTGCTGTATGGGCTGGTCTTTGTGGGTATCACCGCCGAGGTCGTGCGAAAGCTTTCTTCCGACATTGCTCAACATCTCCGCAAAGTTCTCAGAATCTATGAACATGGGATCAGCAACGAGGAAGTGCTTGAGCGTGCTCAAATTCGTCCCATGCAGCTCCTGTACCAGCGCATCAGCAGGCTATGCCGGCAAATCACCATCGACGAGGGACGCAGTGCGGCTCTCAAGCACCCTGAGCAAGTGCGTGCCCAAGCTATCCTGGAACAGGTCGCTGCTCTCAGATGTGGCGCGCATGGACTCACGGTCCTTTCGGGCAGGAAGACTGCCATCTGCTCGGTAGACTGTCCGGTGTGCGGCCTTGCTTTTGGGACCGCGGAGGGGCTGTCACAGCATTTACATCGCCGACACCCTGATGTACGGCGTGGCTCCAAGCTGCGCTTTTGCCGTGCTGAGCAGTCTCTGTTTGGTGTGCCAATATGTAGGTTCTGCCACTTTCGAGCTCACGACTGGAGCTCACTTCGCAAGCACCTCGAATCAGGCAGTTGTCCGTGGGTGCAGCGGCAAATTATTGAAGGGTACACGGTCGAGGATCTACTCACCCGCATTCAAGACCACGAAGCCCAGCACCCGCCTCAACCACCGGCCGCGGCACTCGTGGAGGATGAGCTTGCGAAAGCTCGGCTACTGCTTCAGGATGGTGCCTTTGACCCAAAGTCGGACGGCGGTGCCATACGGTGTTTGGCTCAACAGTGTATTCTGTGCTCTCAGCGTATCCGGTACTCAGCCAGGATCAAACCGCACTGGCAGATCCAACACCCCGGGGCCTGGGAGGCCAGCCACCACAGTGCAAGTTCAGGGTCGGCCAGCTTGGTGGCTTTGTTTCGAAAGCCTTGTGTGTTTTGCGGTAGTCAGGCCAAAAACACTCGTGGTCATGCGTCGCAATGCCCGGCACTTTTTCAGGCTCTGGCCGCTAAAGCCCTGTTGCAGCAAGGGTGTACATTGCAGCAGGCGGCAGCCGCAGGATTCACCATCGGGAACCGCCCTCGAGGCCTTCGCCAAGGGTCTCTCATGGAGCACTGGGCCAAGCAGGGGTCTGTGTCCGAAAAGGCGCCAGCTCTTCCTCAGCGTGGCTGTGCTCCGCCGACTCAGGCACCCGTGTCAATTACGGCTGATAACCCGATTAATCCGCCCCCCCTGCCCGTTGTCCTTCCCCAAGACTGGATCCTCCGACTTGTCTTGCGCAATCCTCACAACCACTGCTATGCAAATGCTGGTTTTCTTGCTTTGCTGCATGCCCTCGAGGGTCTCTCCTCCTTCCCGCGGGCCCTTCGCTCCCTGCGCACAGCTGCGTATCAGGCCGCGCAACGGAATGCCGGCCTTACACTTGCGAGTCAGTTTCCTCTGCGCAGTCTTTTGCGTCACTGGCACTTCGGGCCAGCCCAACAGGACACCCTGGAGTTCATTACGCCCCTCATACAGGCGGCAGGGATTGATGCGGGAAGATGGGAAGCTCGCTTATTAGCTGAGGGTCGTGTGAGCAAACAGGCCGAAGGAGTTGGGCCCATCATGCTTCCAGCTGTGGAGCGGAATGTCACCCTGCAGGAGGCCCTTACTCAATGGCACCGGCAAGGCTTTCCACATGCGCTTTGCGCAGCCTCGGACCTCTTACTGTTTGGATTGCACAGGTACGCTGGCGTCAACAAATCCTTCAGTGAGGTCTGGTTTGACGAAGATGTCAAGGTTCCGGTCTTTGGTGATAGGCTGCAGGTCCGTTGGCATGTGTACCAGGTTGTTGCTGCGGTACTTCATTTTGGCGCCACGCCTCGTGCGGGGCATTATCGCTCACTGCTCAGATGCTCTGATGCCTGGCATTTCACGCAAGATGGCACAGCTGCTAAACCGCAGAGGCTTTTGCGTCAGCACCGTACGAATGTCTATGCCCTCTGGCTCCAGCACAAACCCGGTGTGCCAGCTCTTCTTGGGGACTCTCCCCATCTCTCGCAATGAGCATGGACACGGAAGAGGAGCTTGCCATGTACAGTGCCTTTCGTCCCCAGAGTGCCCAGTCCACTGCCCCAACTGAGAGCGGGGCGCAAGCATCTGATCCCAAGAAGCAGCGGACTTCCGATGGTGGATATGGCAGTGGCGCAGGCAGGCGAGGCTGGAAACCCACTGGCCAGAAGCGTCAGTGGCAGCCGTCCTCGGCGTGGGAAGCATGGGATGCGGCGGCTGGTGACCACACGGCGGCCGAGGCTGAAATCGCGAAGCTCAAGGCATGCATGGCTCAGCTTCAGCGCATGGTATTGCGCCACGAGGACTCCATAAACATTGCCAAGATCGAGGTTAGCTATGTCGCCCACTTCCGCATTGACGCGCCGAACTCTCTTGTTCGAAGCATCTTTCTTGCAGCTGACACGTGGCGCAAGGCCAGAGAGAATGCGCCGCAGACTATCAACAAGCCTCTGCGCGCAACACTGCTGAAGTGCGTGTTCATGGAACTTCGCACGCGGATAGCGGAAATGTCGCAGGAGCAGTCCCAGCGGCTCGAGAGTTTGGGGTGGTTCGACCCCAAGACGCAGGTCTGGTCGTACCTCAAATGGAATGCGCAGGAGAAGTCCCTTGAGCGCGATAGCTCCAAGCCGGGCGTGACCACGGAAGCCGTGCTCTCGATCATGGATGACATCGACAAAGCCGTCCCTCAGCCTTACGCTGTTACTCGCTTTCACCCGACCAGGCCACTGGCGGCTGAGATGAAGGGTGAGTCCCTGACCTTTATGGTGCAGTTTGGGCAGCAGAATGATCATGCAGAGAAGCTGTGCACGGTTGTGCCCGTGCTTTGTGGGCTCGCTGTTACACAGCTGATTGCAATGGCCATAAAGCCTGAGAGACTCCAGCGATCCACGCTCGCCAATCAAATCTCCGAGTCCTACATTGGGTGAGTGCGCCTTGTTTTTCCGATGAGCCATCGGACGACGCTAGGTACTTGCAGGGCTTCGCCTGGGAGTTTCAAGTAGCTGGTGCACTTGTAATTTCAGACGCCTCTTCTGGCGAATGCTCCGCCTGGGCACTACGGGCACGAGGCCACATGTTGCTGCAGGCTGCAGTCGCTACGCACTGCCCTGCATTCGAGCTGATTTTGGGGGCCGTCGCTATCACTCGAGCCTTTCGGTGAAATACAGCCCTTGGCGCAAGTGCGGCGCGTAATGTGCCATGACAGATGCTACAAGCAAGTGCGCGGCAGGCTGCATCCGATGCTGTAACCGTGCTGTGCCCAGGTCTGGCATGGGTGCCTCGGCTCGCCCATCGCTGCTGAAAGCTCAGATCGGACTCAGCGCTGCCCTTCAGCAAAACTTCCGCGCCGCACCCCCAGACGACCCCTGACTCCCGACATGGGACGGATGGTTTGCGCAGAGCTTCCACTCGCGCACTCGCCGAAGCTTTTTCAGTCCGACTGCCTTGTGTGGGGTGTGCGTTCCTGGTTAGGCTTGGTCCCCTCTTTGGTTCGCCTCCCCCTCGGTTTTTGGGGCTGCTTCTGGGTTCCCTTTGGTCCTTGTCCCCTGCCCCGGTTTTGGAGGACGCCGGATCGGGTTATACGGCCCGCGATTCAGGCGCTACGCCCATCCTAGGCCCCGCACCCTAAGGCCAGAGTACGGAGCTAAAGATGGAGGACTATACCTCATTCGAGGTGTTTGTCTTAACGGGATCGAACGTCCTCAAAATCAGACCGAGTGTCTTGCGCTGGCTTTGATCTCTCATGGACAAGCCTCCTGGACTCAGCTGCAGAGACTGATGCAAACCATGCCCAAGGATGCCTCTATGCGTTGGCCGCAGCAGCCGGCGCCAGACATGGCCATGCCGCACAGAGTGACGGTGGGTGCATGGCACAGGGGGCCGATGACAGGCTTGCATGTCACGATGCGCCGTTTTCCGTGGTGCTCTCGAGTTTTCGCTGGACTCCTTAGCACGTGGGATCCGCGCCATGCATTCACTTCGGCCACCATGAGCTTGAATGTCCTAGCGGCTCCACACCGGGACTCCCACAACATGGCGACATCCTTGAATCTCTGCATGCCCTGTTCTCTCTTTCAGGGGGGCGAGCTTTTCATCCAGGATGAGGAAGGTCTTTCTCAGCTGCAGAATGGTGGTCCGCGCGGCCATGTCATTTCCTTGAGCACCCCGGTGAAGTTCCATCCCAGGCGGCTCCATGCTAGCCTACCATGGAGCGGTGATCGGCTTATTTTGATAGGGTTTCACATAGGTCAGAGTGAAGGCCTCACGGGGGAAGATAGGAATGCTCTCGAGGCTGCCGGATTCCAGCCTACATGTGTGCCAAAGTCAGCTTGAATATCTCGCTGCCCGACAAGCCAAGTCAGGCGATCCGTCGATGAAAGGGGTGGTAAGCGCAGCTTCCCTCGCTCAGACGTTCTGCCACTGCATTGTAGCTGATGCTCTCTGAGGTCAAACGTGTCGGACTGAAGTGGAGCAAGCTCTGTCATTTAACGTGGCACTTGCTGTGCTAAGCCCTTCAGTTGAACACATTCTGTACAGGATCCTCTTGCGGTTCTCGCGAATTCTATGATAATGATTCTGTTGCCAGCTGCTGGAGCTTAGGCTCGGGCTGGCAAAGGGAGTATGCTTGGCCCTATCGGGGCGATACTCTCGATTGCTAGGTTGTTTATAAGTTCTTCGGGCCACAATAGTGGTGCTGTTGCAGCCGGGCTAAGCCTGCCGGACGCCAGGCGGACTCCGTCGCGAGTGAGAGAGAGAGAGAGTAGCAGCAGCAGCAGCAGCAGCAGCAGCAGCAGCAGCAGCAGCAGCAGTAGTCGTGGTGGTGGTGGTGGTGGTGGTGGTGGTGGTAGTAGTAGTAGTAGTAGTAGTAGTAGTGGTAGTAGTGGTAGTAGTCAGAAAGAGAATAATAGTACAATTGATAATAACAACAAAAGCTACAGCAAAAAGCGTTGCAGTAAGAACAGTAACAATGCTGATTACTAGTATCATCAGTACTAGTAAATAGTATTCATCATCGCAATAGTCTTGGTAATTATCATCGTAATAGTACTTGTAATAGTAATAGCAATAGCACTAGCAGTTGCAGAAGCCGTAGTAAATAGCAATATTAAGAATGGTAATGGTATTGGTAGCAGTAACAGCGATTGGAATGGTAGTAGGAATAGCAATAGGATTAGTAATGGTAATAGATCTAGTAATAGCAATAGCAATAGCAATAGCAATAGCAATAGCAATAGCAATAGCAATAGAAATTGTGATAGAAAGTGATCGTAATAGAAATAGTAAGAGTATTAGTACTAGGAATTACAATACTAGTAACAATAATGGTGATAGCAATAATGATAGCAATGGCAGTCAGAATCTTAATAGTGCCAATACTGAATCAAAGGGACGGCGCTGTATTTTCCAGGGTACTCAGGGTATTGCGATCAGCAGTGAGATTTTGACAATGAGAACCATGTAAGTGACCAGCAGCGACATGATAGTTTCAGAATGTGATCAAAGCTCCCTTAGGCTCCATGGACTGTATGGTATATGCTTAGGCATTAAAGATTTCCGATATAGGTACTTTAAGGCCTCACTCTATATTATAATGGCACACGACTGGGGATAGGAGCGATCGAAGTTTTATTAGACCGGAGAGCGGTAACAGCAGCAACCGTCCGAGTCGTGACGACAGCTGTAATGCTGATAGCCGTGGGAATGACAAGATTTGTGAGCAGTAGACGGAGCATACCAAAGACATCACAACTTACATGCATCAAGCAGCAATGCCGGTACATGTTGTGTACATGGGATGCGATCGGAAGTACGAATGCTGACGTGCATAGAGTTGCTTGAAATGACGACAAGCCTGGCATGAGCACACACACAATTTGTTAAAACAAATTTTTGGGTTACTGCTTAGACAACAATCATGATCATAATCGTCAACTGATAGTGTGATTACCATGCAACGGCTCCGGCACACCAGAAACGGCTCTGGAGCATTAGGACTCGGAAGCTTAGGGAAGGCTGAAAATCCACGATGTGCAATCAAGTGCTTCACCCTGAGCTGTGAACCCTAACCCGAGAAACCCCAGGAACCCGAAAGCCTAAACACCAAACCCAAAGCTTTTGTCAGATCACCGTTGGCGCGAATCCTCCGGCACGTTATCTTCATCAAGTCGCGACGCTGGCTTCGTGTTGTTCAGAACCCACGGGGCTTCGCTATTGGGGATTCTCGCTCCTTTTTAGGAAGGATCCCGTTCTATTTTCTGAAGCTCCATGTCCCAAGCCCGAAGCCTTTGTCAGTTCCATAAACCCTAAACTCTCAAGCCCTAAACTCTAAAACCCTATGGCGCTGAACCCTAAACCCTACACCCTAAAGCCGTGAAAGCTCTGAACCCTGAAACCCTACAGCCCAAAGCCCTCATCAACTTCCTGCGGCAGATTGGATCAGCTCATAGGTCTGATATGAAAGGTGTTCACTTGAGGGTTCCATTAATTAAGGGCTCCTTAAAAGGTTCCTTTATCGGTTGCTGTCGGGGTTTTCTTTCTTTTGGGATTTTGGGACTTGAGCTGAGAGCCAGGTGTGACAGTCTTCTTAACTTCCTCGAAGCAGGCCATCTGAACAATCGTCCCGAAACCCTGAACCCTGAACCCTGCACCCCAAAGCACAGAGCCCTAAACCCTAAAGAAAGAATGGGGTTCGTCTCAGTGGTTTCACAACACAAGGGAAGAGGACCCTTCCTGTAAGATCCCTTAAAGGAGCTACTGTAGGAATACCGGGGCCTTAATAACTGCCTATACTATTGTGGGGGTTCCTCATTATAACTACAGCATAATATATCCCAAAACCCTAGTCTAACTAATATAACTACAGCATAATATATCCCAAAACCCTATAATTATCAAGGCCCCTGCACTAAATTGTCGCTCGTGTCTCAATCGCCGCGTCGCTTGAGAGAGAGCATCGGATTGGGGGGTTCAGGTCGTTTGTTGGGCGAACCCTAGGCCCAAGCCAAGTGGGAGTTTCCGAAAATCAGGGTGTACCTTATTTTGGGGTCCTCAAAACAAGGATCCTACTATTTGGGGTACTGTATTAGGGTCCCCTATTTTCGGAAACCACCAAGTGGCCAAAATCCCTTTACCCTGAGCTGCCTAAACCCGGATCCCAACACCATGAGCCTCCAGTAGTACAGGGTGACTGGAACGCCTGCATCCAAAAGCCCTAGAACCCTAAACCCTTAAACCCTAAACCCTTAAACCCTAAACCCTAAACCCTAAACCCTTAAACCCTAAACCCTAAACCCTAAACCCTTAAACCCCTAACACCCTGAACCCTTAAACCCTAAACCCTGAACCCTTAAACCCTAAACCCTGAACCCTTAAACCCTAAACCCTAAACCCTGAAACCCTAAACCCTTAAACCATAAACCCTAAACCCTTAAGCCCTAAAGCCTTAAACCCTAAACCCTAAGCCCTTAAACCCTAAAGCCTTAAACCCTAAACCCTAAAACCCTTAAGCCCTAAACCCTGAACCCTTAAACACTGTGCCTTGGATGTGGAGTGAAGGAGACCTGGGCCTCGGTCCAGAGTTGCGAAAAGTTCGGCGGAGCCCCAAAACCAGTGTTAAAAGGGTTTAGGGTTTAGGGTTTAGTGTTGGGGGGGTTCAGAGCCTCTCTAAATCTCTAGCACCCTAAATCTCTGGCACCCTAAATCCCTGAATCCCAAAACCCCTAAATCCCTAAACCCTTCCGATGGCCACCCCTCTTACTTGTCTTTGGGTGTTGTTGTGGGTGCTGATCGATTGCTCAGCGATACCCTGCGAGGGGGCCCTAGGCGGCTGACCGAGTGGGCTCCAAGGGTTTAGGGTTTAGGGGTTCGAGTTTAGGGTTTAGGGGTTTAGGATACAGGGTTGAAGGTTTAGAGGTTTAGGGGTTTAGGGTTTAGACCCTGTGGCCTTGTGCCCTTTGCGTTGTGCTCCGCTCTCTATGCCCTGTGCCCCGAGGCAGAACCGGGGCTTAAGCCCCAATCCCGAGACCACCTCGAACCCCCTGCGCCCCAATATAGGGGCCTCAACAGTTACCTGTATATTATTTCGGGGGTTCCTTCTTGTATTTATAGTATAACATGCCCCATAACCCTATTCTAATTATTCAGGCCC